AAAAGGCATAGGGAAATGATGGGATTATTTTGTCTCAAAAATTAAAGAAATTATAAAAAAAATCCCTATTTTAAAAAAAGAGCAACCAGAGCCACTAACAACAAAACAAACAACAAAGCAAGCAAGCAAACAAAAACAACAAATACCACCTTCTTGTGAGTTGATCTGGATATTCCCTTTAACGCAGCCCTCTGGGATACTACTCTGTTTGCCTTTATTGTGGAACATGGTCCTCTAAGCATAGCACCCAGGGCCATCTCCGTCACAGTACTGGGACTGCTGGCAGAGAGCCTTCAGAGTCAACCTATTGGCTCTCCCCCAGACAAGGGGAGTCATCAGTCCCACACCTGAGATCTCAGCCCCTCCCTCCAGCACCCTCCAGATAGCTGGATATTCCTTTCCATAGTTGCGTATGGTCTTAGGAGTTGATTATAGAGTCTGGAAGGGTCACCGAAAGGGAGGTGCCATGCCTACAGCTGCAGGGGAGTTCTCATTCACTGGGGGTGAGACCTTCAGGTGGTGCAGCTGCTTTGGGGTCACCCACCCCCGTGAGTGACCTCTCACCTGTGCATTTCCAAGAAGCCCAATATGCTGCTTCTCCATTCAGGACTTGGGTGAGCTCCTTACTGTGGTGCCCTGTCTGTGGTGGATAGATGCTTGCTCCTGTCCCCCTGGGGAAACCTCACGGAGTAGCTTGCTCTTACTCACTAGCTTGCTTATTTCCACTGTCCACGGTTCCCACTAGAACATATAGCTAGTGTATAGCTTTCTTTTCTATCCACAGAGCCCAGAGAAAGGTGATAGTGAAGACCCTAGGGGGTATTTGCTGGCTGCCTAGGCGGGTGGATGGATGGATGGATGGATGGATGGATGGATGAATAGATGGATGGATGGATGGATGGATGGGTGTGTTGATGGATGGATGAATAGATGGATGGATGGATGGATGGATGGATGGATGGATTGGTGTGTTGATGGATAGGTAGTAAGAAAATAAATGGGTGAATAGATGGGTATGTGTACGAATGCATAGATGGACACAGAGGTAAGTGTTGGGTAGATGAATGAAGAGATAAAATGATGGGTGAATCTATAGGTGGAAGATAGATGAATGGACGGATGGCATGATGTGTGGGTGGATGGATGGATGAGTGGATGACGGTTAGTGTCTGCTATGTACCAGTCCCAATGGGAGGGTAGGAATAAATAAAGCGCTGCCTTCTGACCAAAGAGTTCATTATAAAGAGCAAGCGACATGTTTAGATGTCAGGTCTATGGAGGGGTAGTAGGTGCTCTGAGCTCGGGGAGAACCTGGAGGCACACTAATGATGCAAAGGTGACTATGGAGTCACAATGATCTCGCCAGTGGGCTTTCCTGGAGTCTACAGACAGCAACTGTGGCCTATCCTGTAGAGAACCTTGGCCTTGGAGAGGAGACACAGGCAGGATTAGAAGACCAGAGCTCTGTGGCTTCAAGTCTACAACAAACTTGAAAGAATATTATAGCAAAGACCAATATAGTTTTACCACCTCAGCTTGTTCATTAAAATAACCTTTTTGTTTTAAAAATGCGTGTTTTTGCTGTTTTAAAAATTTAAAAATTTGCAAAGGGTGTGGCATTCTCATGCACTGTCCAGACACCACTCCCCCTCATTATCAGCATCCTTTATAACACTTGGATTAGTTAGTATTAGTAGATTAATATAACCCGAAATCAACACTTTACTCAGATTTCTCTAGCTTTTACCCACCATCCCTTTTCTGTTCCCGGGTCCTACATCCCATGTCCTCATCACTCTGCTGACTAGCCTTTGTCTGCTTGACACGAACTGGAGTCATTTGGAGGGATGCATCCGTTGGGTTGGTGTGTGGGTGTGGCAGTGGGCATTTTCTTGATTGCTAATTGATGTAGGAGAGTCCAGCCCACTGTGGGTGATACCATCCTTCGGCAGACGGTCCTGAACTGTATAAAAACGTTACTGAGCAACCCAGATGAAACAAGCTTGTAAGCAGAGTTCCTTTGCGGTCTCTGCTTCGGTTCCCGCCTCAGGTTTCTGCTTCGGGATCTGCCCTCGTTTCCTTTGATGATGCACTGTGAGCTGTGAGCTGAAATAAACCCTGTTCTCTGACAAGTTACTGCTGGCCATGGTGCTAATCACAATAATAGAAATGTAAACTAAGAAATCTCCTGGGTTCCTCTTGACTTTCCCTGTGTCTGACGACCTTGACAGGCCATGGAGCACTTACGCAGTATTGTGTAGAATGTTTCTGAACTAGGATTTGTCTGCATGGGTTTCTCAATTAGGCTGAAGGTTAGGGTTGGGAAAAGAAAGGCCACAAAGGGAAAGCAGCCTCCTCCCCTGCTGGCAGCAGGTACTTCTGTGATGCTCTGTTATTGTTGCCAGTGATCTTAGCACCTCATGAAAGTAGTGCTTGTTACAGTTCTTCAAGTGGCCCTCTCCCTTTCCACGTGTGTGGTCTGAAAAGAAAGCAGTACCCATACCACACTGAAAAGACAGGGCAGTTCCACTCCACCTCTTAAAGACTGTGCAAAGCATCAAGTGTGGTTTTTACTAGCTCTGGAACGATCTTGGGTTTTCTGATGAGGTCAATCTTCAGTTTCAGCCTTCTGTTGTGACTTTATAATTTCCTCTTTTCCCCATGAGCAGCCCTTCAGGAGTCCATGAAATTGAGGCTTTGGTTCATGGCCTTACTGGTGTGGCATAGCCCAGAATTCCACTTTCTTCCCCAAGGGCACATTTGATTCCGGTTGCTGGGCTGTTTTCCATTTAAATGTCCTTTAGTAATGAACACGCGGCCTCCAAGAGTGGGCACTGAGCTCGTTTTGTCTGTAGAAGCCGCTGCAACCGGCAGCCTGGTCTGGAAGAGAGGGGGCTTTCAAAGTGCAGGGCAGCGTCTTCGAGTACTTCTGGAGACATAACGATTATTTCATGCTGTGTTATCTTGCACTGAAGCTCCTATTTCTCGCTCTCCTAACCTTCCACTTCATGGAATTAGTAGGGTACCTAACACACAAATCAGACACATTGTCCAGGCCGGGCACCTCGAATCTGAAAACCTCCAAAATGCTCCAAAATCTAAAACTTTTGAAAAACTGATCTGATAAGAGTCACAGTCAAAATGCAAGTGCAGTAAAATGTCTTATAAAATTATTCGTATCCAAGAATACACAGGTGGCTTTGCAGGAGCGCTACCAGAGTCTCCTTTTTGTCGATATGCCCTTTGCTTCCAGCATTCACTGAAAACATCTCCCAGCTCTCTTGTGAGGTACCAGTCGCTGTGCTAGTTCAGTTTAGACAACTTGCCTTTGTCTATGGATAGCAAACAATAGCACCTCTATAGACAGATACTAAACTTAAAGAGAAAGGGGAAACAATAATCCAATGTACACACTGTGTGTGATCTTTAGCCTTTCATCTGTCAAGAGACATTTTGACTTCTTCCAATCCTTGGCTGTTGAGAATGAAACTTCAGTGAACAACATGGGTGGATGTGACTCGGCCTTGAAAAGTGGAGACTCTGTCCCATGTGTAGCATTGAGGACACGGTGATATGTGAAATAGGCCTGTTTTAGAAGGACAGGCACTGCACAGTTTACACAGATGAGTTATCCAACATAGGCAGACTCATAGGAACAAACGCTGGAGTGACTGACAGCTGCCTGGAGCTGGAGGGGGAATGAATTCCTGTCCGGGGTCATGAAATTTCAGCATCAAAGAGAAACCCTCCTAGACATCCACCATCCAGCAAAGTGCCAATGGCAAACAGAATGGTACATATACGCATTTGCGAAGGACACAGATTGCATACTGGGTTTTTCACCATAGAGAAAAGGATTAAGCAAACATTTCTATATATGTGCTTTATGACGATTTACATTTGTAGAAAATGGATAAAAATGGGAGGGGACAAAGGCCCGCTAAGGTTTAGCAAAAATTATAAGGAAAGGAATTCTACCATATCTATAAAGTTTTATTTCTTAGAACAAAGATCTGAAACAAAGAGGTGCAGAATATTTACCTCAGCCAGGACAGAAATGGGTGTACATTGTTGTTCATCATCTTTTGGGAGGCTTGGAAGATTTAGCCGTAGTAATTGAGAATAAGGTGATGTTTAACGGAGTGGTTGGCATAGGGAACGACTCAGAATGTCCAAAATAAAACAAATGAAAACCCACAGTTCATTCAGAAGTCCAGAGCTGGGAGAATGTGCTCTGACTCACACATAGCTCTGCGAGGCTGGGCTATGTGGGAGCCAGATAAGAGCTAAGGTGGGGGAGGGGAGCGGGGGCACAGTTGTGAAGCGTTACCACATCCTGAGGCTGTGTGCTACGTGGGATGGCTTCGAGCCTGACACAAACGTTCCCTTTTATTCTAAAAGTCCTCAAAAGACCAATTTATGGCAAGTCTAGCATTTCCAGAGTCCACCTGCAGTCTCAGGCCCACCTTTCTATGAAAATTGCCCGGCAAGTCTTCCGATGCTTGAGAGACCTGGGATCCACCTGAGCTCTGAGTGCGAGGTTTTGGGGAGACCACGGGATGCACAGTTTCCCCAGGGTCACCAGCTGAGAGCCTCTGGTCTGCTGGTCAAGCCTGGGCTTATCCCACCCCTACCCCTTGCCATGTTGTGGGCTCCCGAGGGCAGGCATTATGAAAGCAGAGCCTAGTAAGTCAAATAAAATTTCCCAGGAAACGTAAAGTGGCATTGAGTTATGAAACACAAAACACAGTAAACACTGCGGGAAATTAACTAACATGGGCATCTCTGCCTATGAGATTAGCTGCTGTGCTGGCACAAATCAGCCTTAGCAGTTTCATGGGCCTCTCAAGGGCCTCAAATAAAGTTTGCTATGTTAACTCAAATCATTGCCTATTTCATGAAAACCCTAAGTAGTATGTGCTCCATGCTTTATGTTTATCCCCCCCTAATTCCATTTGATTTTCCATGACCCTCATCAGGATGTGATATATAATGACTCCATTTCCCAACTGGGAAAATTGAAGTTGAGGGAGCTATGCCCAAGTCAGGGTTGGCATTCCAATTCAGGCTGGTATGGCCCCAGGGTCTATAAGCCTCTGTGCTACATGTACCAGGACTCGGACAGGCACAGCATTTTCTTGATCACATGCAACCTTGTTCCATGAACATTTATAATGGACATGTGTGGTATAAGCCATATGCATGCTAAGGTTTCCACAGGGCTTTTCCTGATACATGATGTGGGATTTCCTTCTGTATTCTGTGATTATCTTAGATAAATAAAGGAACTGCTTTGGGCCTACAGCAGAGCTATAGAGGAACAGAGCTAGGCCAGGGGAGAAACTAAGCCGAATGCTGGGAGAGAGAAGACAGAGTCAGAGGGAAGCCATGTAACCCTGCCAGAGACAGACGCTGGAACTTTAGCCAGTAAGCCAGAGCCACGTGGCGACACACAGATTAATAGAAATGGATTAAATTAAGATGTAAGACTTAGCCAATAAAAAGCTAGAACTAATGGGCCAAGCAGTGATTTAAATAATATTGTTTCTGTGTGATTACTTTGGTTCTGGGCAGCTGGGGTGAACAAGCGGCCTCTCCTCCAACAGATGCACCTGACTAATGCCTGCCCTTCTGCTGCGCAGTGTTACCCTGGTGGACAAGCTGCCCCGTCTTTACAGATCAGATGTGCCTGATTTCAGAAGATTGCCACAACTCGGTTCATTAACTATGGAAGAACCTTACAGAAGGAGGGGCAGGGAGGGTCATTGGATTCTCATAGGGAGTACCCAGACACTCCTCTCAATCAGTTGTATACAATTCCGCCCTGAATTGCATGTGACCTCAGAGAGGGGTTCAAGTATATGAGCAGGGGAAGCAAAGGGAGCATGGTTTCATCTTTGCAGTCCAGGGGGTTCATCCTTCGTGCTGGGTGCAGATCTCTCAGTGTGGCTATTTAAGATTACTTATGTCCACAACCCCATAGTCATTGTTCCACCACTAAGCTAACCCCTAATAAACTCAGAGGTTTCCCAGAATGAATTTTGGTGGCATTGCACCTTGGTTTGCCTTTGGGACCTTAAGAGGAGGAGGAGGTAGCTGTTTACGTGTTCCCAGGAAGGAATTTTAACAATACCTATCCTCCATCATCCCCAGGGAGACAGGTTAAACGGGCATCCAAGGAAGTGTGACAGGAGGAAATGTCACAAAGTGACAAGACACACCTCTGTGATCAATGAGCAGGAGCCAAATGAAAGCCGTCTTTGTCAGAGCAGCGGGGTGAGACGTAGACAAAACATAAAGGGCTCACGTCCTCAATCCAGCACATCAACATCTAGCAACCTAGCCCGAAGAAATAATCACAGCTGTGTGCAGCCGTTGAGGTAAAAGAAAGCTTGTTTCTGAGTTGCAATAATGAAACTTGGAACCAACTTAAATACCCAAGCAGAGGGAATCGCTGAAATAAATTCTGGTACCTGGATTCTGCAGGACGCTCAGCAGCCATTAAAAAACTGCTCTGGGATGGCCTTCCATGACGAGGAAAGCTGCTCACAATATGTTGGCTCTGTGAAACAGCATTCAAAAATGCCCTGCAGGGGTGCTAAATTAAATAAGCAGAGGCCGTGAGCTAGCGGCTACCTCTGTTCGCTGAGTTCCTATGAAGCAAACTGCACCGTAACTTGCTGTGTGGACAAACTGAAGCCTGAGTGCTTTTTTTCCCAGCCAATCCTAAACAGCTGAGCATTAGCGAATCATAGACAGCTCCTGTGTCATGCCTCATCAGCTGTTGCCTTGTCAGGTAATGCCTCTGCTTATCTGGCTATAGAAAAGCGGCGACTCACACTGGGTGGCTCTCTGACTCTCGTCTGGTTCTGAGTTCTGCAGACTCATGAATTGTTGTTTGCCCAAGTTAGGGCAATTACAGCTGTCGGAAGTTGTTCTTTTTCTAGAGTCCATAAAGAACGGCATGAGAAGTGTAGTCTCCTTTAAAAAGTGAGACCGTTTGAGGCTGGAGAGATGGATCAGCAGTTAAAAGTCCTTTCTGCCATAGAACCCAAGCTTGATTCTCATCACCCATGTCAGGGTCTCACAGTCACCTGTCACTCCAGTTCTAAGGGATCTAATAACTTCTTATGGTTTACACAGGTATCTTCATAGATGGCACACACACGCACACGAACACGTACACACACGTATGCACACGCACGCACACGCACGCACACACGCACACACACACAAATATTTATAAGTAGTGAGAAAGTTTTCTCTTTTAATAAAAGGAAATGCAAGCATTTTAGTATTATGCTTATTTACTCACCTGTATTTTGATTACATTTCCATAATGACTATGTTTTACCTCTGCAGATAGAAAAAAATTAAACATAGTTCAAACAAAATAACGACTTAGAGGGATTCTGCTGATGAATATGTATGAAGCCAGGTTCCCCTGCTGACCTCCTCTGGCTGCCTCTCCTACCTCTGACTTCTGGCCCATTCAATGCTCTAGAAGAGGGACAAGGGCTCATTACATTGTAAGCAGATATTTCAGGGGCTTCCTGGAAATGCAGAAATCCGTATGCCATGCTCTGGTGTGCTCTGTTATATCAGAGGGATTCCCGTTTCTCTGCCTTTGAGGACTCAGTGAAGTTCATAAAAACCCTTACGTCTGATCCTTTAACCCTCGCTGAACCTGTAGATTCCCCCAGGTCACACTTTTTAGAAGAAACAAAAGAGGAAATTGAAGAACCACCAAATCTGGAATGATTCCTACATGCTAAGATGTCAAAAGAGGAAGTGAACTTTCCCAGAGTCCCAGCTAGGAGGGCTGTAGCCACAGCGAGGCTGTGAGTGGCAGCGGTGTGGAAGAGCCAATCAACTTCCCAGTCTGAAGCGAGGTGAGCAGCGGGACGGGAATCCTGTTAGGTTGTGGGTGGAGCTGGTGGACGGGCACCGGCTGCACTGAAACAACAGAGACAAGTGCTTGGAAATTTTACAGGTGATGCTGCGGGGGGAGGGGAGCCTTGGCTCTTTGCTGTGTCACAAAAGGCCTCCTCTGTCAGCCTTTTGTGTCTGCAGAACAAGTCATGGGGGGGTGGGGATCAACCCGACACGGGGGCGGGGGTTTCTCCAGGAGCAGCCACGCCCACCTCCCTTCCAGATGCCCTCCCTCTCTTTCTCCACGCCGCTTCCTGACCGGGACACAATCTTCCCAGGAAAGTGTTCACGAGGCTATTTTTGGTATCCAACATGATCCCATCAGCGTCCCGATCTATCATCCAATCATCCAGTCAAGAAGCCACCATTGTGCTTTCTTTGGCGCAGCAGTCAATCTTCTGCTTAACTTGATGGATCTTTCTTGTTCAGCACCTTTTCTCTCATTGCCTGCGTGGGAAGTTAGTTCTCTGAGGCTGGAACCTTGTCTGCCTGTTCACCGCTATAGCCTAGTGCTTAGAAAAGGGCCTTGTAACACAGTATGGTTCAACTAAAAATGTGTCGAAAAAAAACGAACGAATGAATGGAAAGTGTATACAGGGTAAAGAAAAGCTCAGAGTTAGATTCAGACACTAGGATTGAGTCGAACTTTACTTCTCACCTGGGGCTACCACTGAGTCGGTATTCTGACTGTGGGGAGGGATACGCACGCGCAGCACTGCGGGTTTGCAAAATGCCTGGAGTCCAACCAGCGTTCTAAACGGGTACTTTACTATTCGATCATTCAGAATAAAGAGGAAAATTTTGCTGTGGGCTAGAGTGAGAGGTGGACAGCAAACAGGCAAGCTGAAGCGGCCCACTCTGCTTCTCAGGAAGAGGCGGAAGAGTGGAGTGACCAGGTTTAAGAACCTCTCTACCAGATGAGAAGAAAGCCTGAAGTTGTGTTTAGATGTGATTCCAAAATCGTGGATGGAAAACATAATCCTCAAGCCATGTGCTAGTGGAGATGTGAGGCCTTTGGGGTGGGGGAGGCTGGTTCTTGAATGGCCGGATGCATCTATGGATTAATGAATTCACTTGCTGCAGAAACCCCTCTGCTGTAAAAACCCCCTCTTAGGTTCTGCTTTAGAAAGTGGGTCCCTCTGCAGGTTTGATGCAGTCAGGAGGCCACTTTCAGAATTGGGTTCCACCTTCTATCCTTTATAAACAACTCAGCCATGGGAAGTGGACTATGGCACCCTGCTTCTGTTCATGAAGACAGGTTTGGTGAAGTTTCTGCCACCAGTCCCTGTACAGGTACCAGAGCAAACTTCACACCCACCTCCAGTGTTCAGCAGCAGCTGTGGCTGAGGGAGGACCATGATCCGGTTTGGTTTTCCCATTCTGCATTCCCCATCACCCTCACCCCTGGAGTCAGTGTCTCTGCACCTTACCAGAGAGATGGTTGGAGTGAAAAAAAACAGGTTAGGGATCTGATCTTGGCATCTTGTTCCTTTTTGTTCACACGATGCAGTAACTATCCAGACCCCGCAGTTGGCCAGGTTTGCAGAAAATGAAAGCTCAGCCAAAGGGGATGGCACATTCTGGAGAGAAGGGAAGGGTAGTTAAGAATGGCTACTACAAGAGGAGAAGAGACCGCTGAGCAGAGATGACTCATGGAGAGCCCTGCGAACACAGAAGAAATTTAGATGAGGCACCAAGAAGCATAGAGGAAGGAGTACAGGGCGGGAACTGTGGGGCCTGGCTTCCAGCATGGCTATGCTGCTCGCTCTGTGCGGCTGTAGGCCAGTGACGTCCTTCTTCAAGTCCAGTGTCTCGGCACCTGCTCCCTTGCCTCCCTATGCTGGTCATTCACTGGTTCATTGATTCACTCTACAATATTTCTTGAACATGCTTTGTGATGTAGAATTTTGAGATTCGGTGAGGAACACAGGTGACAAAAACCACTTTATCATGTCATATTGGTCCTTTTATGAACAATAATGATACTAACAAAATATAGCAAAAATTATTTCGGTATAAGGAGGGAAAAAATAAACCAGAAAAGGGGGGATAGGAAGCCTATTCTGAAAAGGAGATTGTGGCAGTTCATTTATCAACCTGATACAATCTATTCACCTGGGAATAGTCTTAATAAGGGGATTGGTTTATTTCTGGGAAATTATCTTGATTCGTTAGTCGAGGTGGGAAGACCCAACCACTATGAGCGGCACCATTCCCTGCACTTAAGGTCCTGGACAGTATAAAAGGAGAAAGCTAGAGGAGAGTTAAGCATTCACATTCTCTCTTGACCGAATGTGGCTAGAGGTTTCCTGTCCCTTGCTTTTCCTTCAACAACGAAAGGCCCTCGCTCTGGTTCCGTGAGCTAAAATAAGCCTTTCCCCCCTAAGTTGCTGTTGTCTCGGTATTCTGTCACAGTGTTTGGTAACGAAACTAGGACAGAAATCTCTGAGTCAGCACCTAAGGAAGTGAGAGAGTGAGCCAGGCGAACGCTCAGCCAAGATTCCCAGTCCAAGAGATTCCCGAATGAGGAGCTGGCTGGGAGATGAAATTTGTGGGCCTCCATCCTCTATACCCTCTCCTCAGCCCACCAACCGAGCATCCCCCAAACAGGGCTCCCTGTGTCACTTCAGCTCTGTGGTCTTCCCTTCACACATAGCTGGTCAAGATAACTTTCACATGTGAGTCAGATGCCAACACTTCCTGCTTAAAACCACAAGTGCTCCCCCATGCTCAGGACAGATGGCCTGGTCCATAGTGTGGTTCTTCAGCATGTCCCCAAGCTGTGCTTTTGTCCTCAGCTCCATACACCCCTTTCCAGTCACACTGGCCTCACAGCAAGCCCTGGGCTAGCCTAGCAAACCTCAGCCTTGAGTCTGCATGTTTCTCACGTGCTGATCCCCTGGGGCCTCCTCGCTCCCTTAGGCTCCACTCATTCAAAGCTAAGACCTGCCTAAGCTGGCCCCTCTCACCTTCTATCTCCTTGTTCTGCTGTTTCCACCTCCTATCATTTCAGGAGCTTGAGGCGGGGGCTCTAATAGGTCAGGTGTCTACTGTATGTGAGGCACCCCTAAACAACCCAGAATTAATTTATCTTCCCCCAAACTCCACGGGGGTGCTCATATATAGTAAACACGTTTTGTAGATTGATATCCCGAGACTCAGAGAGGCTGGGGAATTTGCTTCAAGTCTCCCAGCTGGTGAGTATCAGAGCAGGAGATATACCCTGGGGCTTCTATGGCCAGTCACAGGACTCTGGACCATCACACCAGGCAGAGTTCTGCCACAATGGACATGCCCTGTGTATGTGCGGCCTCATAGGGCGTATGTGACTGTTGAGCATGTGAGGTCTGTGCTGCCAAGCAAGTCTTGAACTATTTCACTCTTTCTTCCTTAGACTTGACAGCCAGGCTGGTGGCTAGTTCATGGTGTGAGACTGCTCTGTGTCTCAGTCTTGTCATCTTGCTGTTGGGGAAACACTGCATGGAGTTGCGGGGAGCGTCTTTGGGGGACTAGTTTCACCATCCATGGAAATATCACAATCTTTATTTTATGGAATCCATGCACGTCCTCTCATGTGCGTCAAATCATCTCTGTATGACTTGAACATCTAATGCAATGTAAACAATCATTAACTAAGTGCCTTAGAGAATATCAAAGAGAAAAGGGTCTGCGTGTCTGTAGCACAGATTTAATTATCTTCAGAATGTTTTCAATCTCCAATTTGTTGGCTCTATTGATACCAACCCATGTATAAAGAAGACTGAATACATATACAGGTACATTTATATGTGATGTAATCGCTATTACACATATCGTATAGAAGGATAAGCTATAGTTCTAAAAGAACTATACACACATAGGGCTTAAGGTTAGCCTGGCACAAAGTAAATACAAATGCTAATTAATTATCCATTATTCACCTGTTAGGTCGTTTTAGACCAACAGTGTTGTTTGTTCTTTGGCAGAAAGCAGATGATTAAAAATATTTGTTTAATGAATGAGTAAGTGAGCTGAATCAAGCATGGAGCTTTAACAATGGCAGTGGCTCTCTTGGGAGCCGAGCAAGAAGCCCAGCTGAGTGAAAAGTGCCGACAGCCCCCTGGGTCGACCGAAGACTGAGACAAATGGAAGAGAACATGGTTTCAAAAGAATTTTCTTGGGATGGGGCAGGAAGGAGCACTGTGGCCCAAGCAGAACATCCAGAACCATCACTAAAAGATGCCTAAGGCTGTCGCTGTGGAGCCAAGACCCGTTAGGACCCAGCTCTATATAATGGAAGCCTTTGGATACATGTCCCAGGGTTCAAAGAGTTAAACACAGCGTGGCACTGCGTTAGTGGACATTGCCGGTGTGTAAACAATCAAACAACATTGGTATGGGAAGCAGGTGACAAAACTGACAACGGTGGCTGGTGAAGAGCCTAGCAAGATGCCCTGTGTCTTAGGTCTCAGGGTCTCTCGTCAGACAAAGTTAGAGGCTCTGAAGGAACACCTAGAGCTAACCCTGACTGTGCCCACGGCCCTCCTATTTCTTAAACAGAGAAGTAGGAACACAGTAGCCTCTTCCGTTGCCCTTTCTTCCTCTTCCAAGCCATGTTCAGGATGTAGCTGGCACATTCAGCCATGTGACTGCCACACAGTCAGGCGCTGGACTAAGCACGGTCTCCCTCTATTCACCTAGCAGAGATGCAGATCTGAGCTTCGCGCTAAGGCTTAGCACCCCTAGCATGAGTCATCTCGAGTCCTTCAGGGCCCAAGTAGGTCACGGGGTTCCTGTTGATGATTTCAAGTCATTCCAACTTTAAAAAAGGACTTCATCTTTCAGCAGTCTTCAGTCACAGTGGCATGAAGCTCCTGCAACCAAAAGACATTGTTTGATCAGCTTGTATGGTATCTATCTGTCTGTCTGTCATCTATCTATCTATCTATCTATCTATCTATCTATCTATCTATCTATCTATCTATCTAGCCTGTTTAGTTGACTGCATGATGACATTACACTAGTCCAACTTAAAAGTACACCCACCCCAAGTGGTTATTTTATACAAGCTGTGAGGTTTTTAACCCGTGACAAGGGATAGAAGGGAAATTCTCCTCACCGCAAGGACATGCTCACTTAAGCTTCAGAGAGGCGCAAGCACTCAAAACTCGAAGTGTCCAGCTGAGCATCCTCTGGCAGCGCAGACTCTATCAGGAAGGGGCACGTGTTGCACTGCTCACCATGTAACTGAATAACCAGGATGCTCAATGACGATATCACTGCAGGCAAATGATCCCTTGGTCGGTAGTTTCCTGGTGTTTCTCTGCTGAGTTATTGTATGGATAGCATCTTCAGAGCCAGCATAAGCAGGTCATTGCTATTCTTGTATCAACACAGGGGTCAAAATGGGGAGGTTCTAGATCATGGACATATTGGTTGTGGAAGGTGGCTGTTGGGGACGAAGGCCAGTGTATCCAGCAGCTAGGGGAACTGAGGAGAAAGAAGATTGTTGGAGGTGGCACAGTGATAGGGTAGGTTTTTTTTTAAGTTAGTTGATGAATTAGTTTTCTGTTGCTACTATTATAACAAATTACATGGTCTTAGAGCAGTGGTTCTTAATGTTCCTAAAGTTGTGACCCTTTAATACAGTTTCTCGTGTTGTGGTGACCCTAGCCATAAAATTATTTTCATTGCTACTTCATAACTGTAGTTTTGCTACTCTTATGAATCATAATGTAAATATTTGGCATGCAACCCCAAAGGGGTCACGACCGACAGGTTGGGAACCTCTGAGATTTACCATAATACAAGCGTGTTATCATTTCAGACAAGAGCCCGATGCATCTCCTTGAGCTAAACTCAAGGGCGCTCTTCCTTTCTCCAAGTTCTAAGACTGAATCATTTTCCTGGCCTTCAGTCGGTTCCAGAAGTCACCCATGTTTGGCTTGTGTGCCTTTCCACATCTTCATCGAGGCCAGCAGCATCATATCTCCCTGTCATTTATCATTGGACTTAGATCCTGTTGTTCGTTCTTCTCCCACCTTCTAGCAAGGACTGCCCTCAACAGCAAGCCAGGCAGCGTACCAGGCTTACCACTGCCTTCCACGAACTGCATTCGTTCCCCGTCCTTGTGGGAAACGAAAGCACAGAGAGAAAAAGTTGAGTGGGCTGCCCAAGCCACTCAGCTATAGGGTAGCTGTCGAGGGATTAGATGGTGTCATCCCAATGTCCTGGTCTGAGGCTCCACCCTTCTTAAGTTCTGGCTTTGGACAGAGAGGGAAGCTTAACCCTTTAAAAATTCCGAAGGAAGAAAAGCCAAGGCTGAGAGGCTGATTCTGCTGGAGCTGTGTCCGTCCTGTGGTCCCTGAGACACCCTGAAAGTTGCCAAAATATGAGCGAAAAAACTCTCTCTGTTAGAGGATGTTTCCATTTGAGGAATTCTGGGCTTGAGGCTGTTTGGCGAGACTTCCTGAATCACAGAGTGAATATACATGCAAAACAGCCTGACTCTGTCCATTCATTGGTCACGGGATGGGAAGGGAACCGGGCAGGGAGAAGTGGCGGTAGGATAGAATACATCTGACCCGGGCTGGAGAGATGGCTCAGAGGCTAAGAATTCTTGTTGTTTTTTCTGAGGACACGGGTTCAGGTTCCAGCATCCCCTTAGTAGCTCATAACTGTCTATAACTCCAGTTCCAGGGGATCTGATACTCTCTTCTGGCTTCTGTGTGTCCTAGGATGCATGTGATGTACATATGCAAGCAAAGTACTCCTCTGCATAAAAATACAATTTTTTAAAATGAGAGAATTCATTGGCATGAGAAAGGGGATTACTGGGGTAGGAAGGTACAAGTTGGAAGGCAAGAGATTAGGGGAAGAAGATCTATTAAAACAATGTATTATACAAAGCACCATAATGAAATGAACTACTTTGTATGCTAATTGGAAGACTGGCCTTTTTTTTTTTTTTTTAAGAGACCCTAGAGGTAGCAAGAAACAATGGTGTCAAGTGGTTGGGGAGGCGGAAGCTTGCTTATGAGAACCTGGTGCTTTTACTGGCCTAGCCCAAGTTTTATTTAGAGCTGGGAACCTATGTCATCTCCCTGCCTGAAGACCAAAAGGGGCCCCGTTCTGCTAACGGAGGCTGAAGCCGTGATGTGAGGAGTCTCACTCCCTAGCAGCAGGGCAACAGCAGCTGCTGAACTCAGTGAGCTGAGTGTGTGGCTGTCACATTCGCACACACTCTCCTGCCTACCTTGTGTTCTGACTTCTCACTAAAAGCAAACAGAGTTGCTATTTGCTGGGAACACGTGAGGAACAGGGGATTTTGTTACTGAAGCAGATGAGACATGTCAGGGAGAAGATTTACTCATCAACACAAGGAGGCAGGGACAGATTAAAGTACTCTTGAATTTTTATTCTTTAGGCATGGCCCCATGGTGCACTTGTTGCTCAGCATCATATAAACAGAGCTCCTCTGTCTAGCAGCAGCATCCCTGTTCCCTGCTAACATGTCTGATCACCCTCTGATGACACTCCACGGGAACTTTGCAGAATAAATCCTCACTATAGGATTACTTGTGTTTCTTTTGTATTAATTAATCAGCTACTGAGAGGATCATGGCATGCTAACACAGAAAGGAATCCCTAGCATTGTCCGGGGGAAAAAAATAAACTGGAAACGTCTCTGTGTGACACCAGGTGTAGCTCAGGTATGTAACACGAACAGCTTCATTATCAACGAAAGCACCATGAAGGATGCTAAGTGTTATTTGCACCCCACTAAAGACAAAAAGAGCTGGGGATGTAGCATCGCATGGTTCTGAGTTCAATCCTAGCTCTACTAAATAAAAATATAAAGATTGGGTGATTTTAAAGGGAGCTCAAGGTCAGACTCTCTGCTGGTGGGGCTTAACCACCTGCCAGCCTGTTGTCTACTGTGTAGTTTACTCTAGGTGACCTCCTCTATTCCCTTTGATATTGTATGAACAAATTGGACAGTAATTTGCACCTGTTCTTGCAGGGCGAGGGCCTTGAGGATACAGGCATCAGAATGCCCGACCAGCAAGGTACCCCACCTGAAGGATCCAGGGCCTTCACATACCTGCAAGCACAGTTTTCAGAATCGAGCTTGGAATGCGAAGAGTCAGGCAGTGACTCCGGCCTCATTGGGCCCCCAGTGGGCAGGGTGGAATATGATGGTCTTTTTCCTTCCTCATTTCCCCCTTCTCCTCCAGCGCCTCACCTCCAAGTCAGCCTGGCACAGCGGAGCTGTGTCTCTCTGCTTGCAGTGCTGTGGTGTCCTTTGAAGAATGGCTTGTACCACAAACACAGTATCAGACTCGCTTGGCTTGCTCCTACTTTCTTACTACAGGACTTGTGCAAACATAGTGTGACCATCTTAGGAGAACCCAAAGGAAAAGAATTTCCAAGCATGGTGGACATGACCTGCAAGATCTGTTCTGTGTGAGCCTGGGGACTCCGCTGTAAGATTTCTACCCCTGGAAACCATGTCACTCTTGGCATCAGACCCCATATTCTTTTTTAAAAGGAAACAAACTATCTTTTTTTCATTATACATACCAATCCAAGTTCTCACTCCCTCCCTTCCTCTTATTCCCTACACTTAGCCCCCAACCTCACCCCCATTCACTCCTCAGAGAGGTTAAGACACATTGCTTTGGGAAAGGTCTGAGATCCTCCCTACTGTATCTAGGCTGAGCACAAAGAGAATAGGTTCTCAAAAAGCCAGTACAAGCAGTAGGAACAAATCCTGGTGCCACTGCCAGTGGCCCCTCAGTCTGCCCCAGCCTTGCCACTGTCAACCACGTTCAGAGGGACTAGTTTGGTCCTATGCTTGTTCCTGTCCAGTCCTGCTCATGTTGGTGAGCTCCCATTAGCTCAGATCGACTGTTTCAGTGGATGGACTCATCATACAGACCCCATATTCTACCTCTGGCTCTCTGTGCTTTCAGTAAGCAGGTAGTCTTCCTCCGCCTTTCTTTTGCATTTGTAAAGCGGGTCCACGTGCCAGAATCCCCTTGCATGCAGTGCTTGTGGAAGTTACACGGTATAATAAAGGCCCACCTACCATTCTTGTCTCCAAACCGTGGAGGTCCCCAGGAAGCGGTGGTAGACTTACTTTCTCGATGCTTTGACTTCACCTAAAACATACATGATCCCCTAATCTTGCTGTTCTTTCTAACCTCAAATCTTCCTTTCACCGTGAGAGGCTGTTGCCAGGGGCTTAAATACCTTTTGCTTTTTATTCTTGTGCTCCATCTCCCCCACCCCCCCGCCAATACTGCCACGTTCCGGCTTGTCCACAGAAGGAAGCAAAGGTTTCTCATCTATTAGGTAGAGAAGCTGGCCCCTCTCTCTTGCCCCTGCCAACAGCTACCGACCCTTCCTGGCGTTTGGGGAGTTTTCTCTCTGCAACATGCTTTTCTGAGTTCCGGCGACTGAAGTGAAACATGAGAGAGAAGACAAGGAGGTTTGACAGGAAGTCCAAAGAAGGACTTCCTCCTATTCACCTTGAACTTCTGAGGTACCTCAGCTGAACAACAAAGCCAGAGAACCAGAGCAAGGAGACTTAAAAAAAAAAAAAATAAAGAACAAAATTGTCAGCCACAAGGAAGTGGAAAATATTACCTACCGGTCCTTGCCTTGCCTAGGGCAGCCCACTCATATTTTCCTCCTGTGCTATCCATGGAAGGGGGAGGTGAGACCAGTGTCCAGGGCAGGTGGAAGGGAACGCTCAGAGACTGGGAGACAGAGTGAATGTTATCTGGAGAAGAACTGGAAGGGGCTGTGGAAGTCCGTGTTCACCATCTCCTATTGTGCAGTCCCAAGGAGTGCTAGGAAGTACTGGGCCTCCCCAGGTGATGGTTGCTGGGGTCCAGCCCCCATTAGCCTGCACTTTTTGGAAGGTATTTTTTGTTCTACACCATAGTGTGGTGTGTCATGTACCACGAAGGACCCTCCGAGGCTCTCCTTCATTGGATCCTATCGCTTTTTGTCATCCAGAATGATCCCATCAATGGGTGACATCTCTACTGCCTGCCTCTAAGCATGGTGGGGGAGGGGGATTTCCCTTAGCCTCTGCCCTAGGAAGGGCAACATATTCTCATGCACGAATCCCCTATTGTTCTCTCTTCTCTGGTCCTGATGCGACAGTTCCCCAGGATCCTTCCTCCACAGCACACACAGGAGCAGCGGCTCCCCAGTCTATTTTCTCACCTCTAACACTAGTCAGTAGGAAAGGCAGTCATGGCCCCTGCCCTGTGATTCTGCTGTGGGCTAGAGGGAAAGGGGGGTGGGTGGGTGCTGTGAATCTAGGCTTGGGGGAGGGAGGGAGGGAAGGAGGATGGGAGGGAGGGAGGGAGGGAGAGAGGGAGGGAGGGAGGGAGGGAAGAGAACCTCCACTGTCTGCCCCTGCATACTGCAAGCACTGCTTTTTTTCCCATAGCTTCTCGATGCCTATCTTGTTAGCCCCTGCCACTGCCACTGTCTCAGTGCTGTCTGTCTGTTGCTCTTACTTAACCTTGAGACATATGATTGGTCCTCTGTGTTTGCAGATTCTACATCCATGTGTTTCAACATGTTTAAGCATGGTTAAAACATTTTTAAACAACCGATTCCACACTGAATGTGGATAGAGTTTTTTTTTTTTCCTCGCCATGATTCCTGAAACAACAGAAAATCACAGCTACACACATAGCATTGGTATGTTTAGGTATTATGAACCTTCTAGAAGTGGCTCAAAATTATGTGAGAGGATATATATATATATATATATATATATATATATCTGCACCATTTTGTATAAGGAACTTGAGCTCTGACAAATTTAAATACCTATGAAAGATTCAGAAACACTCTCTTGCTTTGTTTAACCTTTCAACCTATATCTTCATAAACAACTGGGCTTCTCTATCTGGTTCTGGTCAAAAGAGATGGGATGGGATCAGTTGCCCCATCCAAGAGGCTTCTTAGCTTGCAATGCTGGACCTTAGCTGGTCCCCACCTGCTACTCTGTTTCTTGCTCAAAGCCAACAGAATGACATCTTGGTAGGAACTGAGTTCTTGCCATCCTGATACCACTGCTGTCTTGGGATAAATGCGAAGCCTGCCCATTTCACATGTAAAGAGACCTAGTACGGAACAAGTGAGATGACATGCTATCACACACATTGTCCTGGTTTCCTGAGCGCTGTTCTTCAGAGTTTCCCTGCCTTGGGTGTTTCTGGAACACTTGCCAGACATAGGAGATGTGAAACCTAAAATTGTTGGGAAATCACCCAGGGATAGGAAGAGGACAGTCTTCAGGTCTGAAGCAACACACTTCCTCTTTCATCATTCTCTCTCTCTCTCTCTCTCTCTCTCTCTCTCTCTCTCTCTCTCTGTCTGTCTCTCTCTCTCCTGATGCTTTAACTGAGGTATTGGTCTGTGGTTCAATGGGCAGTGGACACAATGTGAAAGACAGATCAGCAAGTTGCTACCTTTTTGTGGACTGCAGACCATAAGCTGTCCCCATGAACACAGGGGCTACTGTACAAGCTCTGAAGACAGGCCTCGTTTGAATCCTGACTCTATTCTGGGCATCGTCAAAGCATCCCAGAACCTTGAGGAGGCAAATGGTAAGGGATAGTGACTCTGGACTCAAGTCTATTCTCAACAATACTGGAATGCACACCTACTTGGAGGATGTAGAGAGCAAGCAAATGGCTTCTCCACTCTGACTTTATTGTTCTCTTCAATGAAGCAGGAGTAATAACTGTGCCAGCCATTGGGAGGGTTGGTGTAAAGTTCTCGGCGCATCCTCTGACACACTGGAGGGGGTTTTCTGTGGTCTTGTGTCTCTATTACCTTCATTGTCATTGTCCTGGTTTCTGGATGCTGTAGCTACCTTGTCACTGGTCCCCATGGCTTGTTTGTCTTGGCCACTTTTTATTGAATAAAAATTACTTAACAATATTTTATTCTAGCTTCTGTTTTTCTGTTGTTTTTTACCCTGAATTGAGTGCACAATATTCAAAAACACAATTCTGACCAAAAATCAAAAACCCACTATTGCTTTTACTTTTAAGGATGATCTGGAATGCTTCTTTCCTCAGAATTTCTCTATTTTAAGAGACTTTTGTTGGTTGGTTGATTGATTGATTGATTGATTAATGAGGGCCAGAATCCTTACCTATCCATTCTCCTCTCTAAGACCCCTGCCGAAAGCCCAGTTCATCCCATGGTGTCTTCTTTACTCGAAAGTGATTTGGCTCCATTATGGCTGTCACACTGCTGATTTGAAAAACGAAGTAATGTCTCTCACTAGTCAGGGCATTTTGGAGCAGGAAGGCAGTGGTTCACTGAGCATCATCAGTTTGGTGATCACCTAATGTAGGCTACCTGGGTTGATGCCTTCCGCAGATCACCATCATGGACCCCTTCTTAGGGCTGGGTCTGGCACTGCATCTGTGTCTCATTTACACTCATAGGCAGGTCATGAGACAGCTACTAGAGGCAGCAGGGCTTTCTGTAGTGCGTATGAAAGGGAAAGCAAACATGACTGAAGCCACTCGTGCAAAACCCCCAGAAAGAGCATCTCAGGTACCAGCACTGGGATCGAGAGAGGTGCGCAGGTGTGCGTCTGTGCAGTCTGTATCTGCGGGCATGTATGTGCACATACATATGGACCCCTGGCTAATCTGTGTTTGCAGGTCGCCATATTGCATCAATACATTTGTTTTTAGCCTCAGGTCTCACTCACAGCCAGGGATTCCTTCAACCCATGAGATCTGCTCGGAGACTGTGACTGAAGGGTGATGCTAGAGATCCCCATCACCTGTCCTGGGAGGACAGACTCTTGGGCCAGCTATGTGGAAGACTCAATAGCAAAGGGAAGACACAATAGTAGAGAGAACAAAGTGAGGAAGCGCGGTGTATGGAAGGGGTTGTGTCATCAATAACAATTCTTTAAAATTTTATCTTTGTATTTGCCTAGAAAATGCATTGAAGTTGCATGTGTGTAGCCCCTCTGTTTGCCTACCTTGCAGATAAGGAAACCAGTTACCTAGACTGTCACTGAAGAGACTATAGAAGGCCTGAACATGGCAAACATAGCTCTGGCAGGCCTTGCCTTTTCCCCCCATTGCCTCTGCCTTGCTAAAAACTGTTAAGTTACATTCCTAAAGCTAGAGTGGCCTCCTCTTCCTGAGGCTGGCTACCATTGTCCAGCTATCAAAGTCTTGAAGTCCAGAAATCAAAACCTCCTTTGGTTCACCTAATTAATATGCCCAATTAAAATGAAATACCTCACTCTAACACAGGATTTCACCCTTTACCTTTATAAACTGCCATTTTCCTATGGGCCAGGTCTGTCTCCTCTCTATCCAGAGGCAGTCTTTTGTTCCCTGGGACAAATACCCCTCCCCTCTCTCCTTCCTCCCTCATCTTATGTCCCCCATCCTAGTGTCTTATTCCCTGCCCCTTGTCCCTCCGGGTTAAGTAAATATCCTTTGTCCTGAGAACGCGGCCTTGGGGTGTCCTGAGTCCCTTCAGCCACTCCATACCCAAGACTGCAGTGCAGAAACACTCATATCAGAAGTGTAGCTGGTCCTCTGCATCCCAGAACCCTTAGCCACTTGGAGCCTGCCTACCTCGCTCACACTTATTCTAACACGAAGAAGCCGCTGAAGGTGCCCCTGCTTTCAGTGAAAACAAACTGGTGGGGTAGGAGGTTGGAAAACATGAAGAGACCATCTTCCTTCCCTCACAGTTCACTAGTGGATGAAATTACAGATAATTTTAGGGAAGTGTGAAAGGAGGCTCCTATCTGTATAGTCGCGGCCATGCAGGAATGTGGCGTCCAGCTTCGGGCGTCCGGAATTATCGTGGAGAAACAGTACTTGAACTGAGTTTAAGAGCCCACTTGCTTGGGGTATCCGGGCCAGTGGGGAATTACCCCTATCTCTCTCTGCATTGTGAGCCCCTAGAGCTGGCCCTTCCTTGTTTACTTATTTAGAAGTCAGCAGAGGAAGTGGTAAAGGAAACCGGCTGAGTCGTTTTCTGAGAAGAGACCATATTTGCTCACAGGGGAAGCCACTGCTTCTTGGGATCCGGCTACAGTGGTAGCGACGCCTGCTTGACAAGGGTGTTTCTGAGTGTAGTTGGGATTCAGAAGAGCCAAGGACACCTCAGAGCTTTGGATCTGGTTTTGTTCTCTGTTCATGGCTGCTGCAGCTCTCCCCGGCTTGTGAGCTTCTCCCTAAACAGCAGCCATGGCCTTGAAGAATGTGCCCTTTCGCTCGGAGGTCTTAGCCTGGAACCCGGACAGTCTAGCTGATTATTTCAGGAAGGTGAGTCTGTCGCTCTTGTGCTTCTTGTGGGGCCGATGTGCCTTCATGGGGTGGCCAGAGAGTGGAGGTGGAGTCTGGAAAGAATACGGAACGCATACAAAAAAACTGCGGAGCTACCAACTACAGCTGCCACCTTCCTGGGAGGCAGACAGACAGACTACTGAGCTTTCCGGGCAGTGTGTCCTATAGAGAAAGATAGCCGAGGGGGCCCTCCCATGTGTAAGCCCCTAGTACATAG